TATTATAAATTTATAATAAGTATTATTTGTTTTTCAATTCAATTGGTTTTATAATTGACTTTTCAATTGGTTTTTAATCTCAAATAATTTTTTTGTTTAATTCTTTTCATTTCCAAAATATAACTTATTTTTTCAAATAAAAAATGTTTTTTAAAATTTAATGAAAAAAATTATTTACAATAATTTAAAGTACAGGTAATTGTAGTGAACATAAAGCAAACATATGGTTATAAGAGGTTATGACGATTAAAACATCTGTTCATTAGAAACATAATACGAAACAATTATTTTGTTTCATTCATTAAATGTTTAATTATAAAATTTAAAATTATAAAATACATTCAATTTAATAATGAAAAACTTCACAAAATTTTACACAAAAAATTCACAAACTTTTGAAACAAATAATCGCTTTTATTATCAATTAAACAAAATATAATATCAAATGATGAATAAATTCATTAATTAAACACAATATTAATCGAATGTTGTTTACTTAAGTAAAAAACGCTACTTTAGTTAAGTTTTATTTAGTAATTAATTATGTCATAAATCACAAATTCGCATATAAGGATACAGATAATTTTAGTTTATAGTAAATGTGAAAAAAGCAGTCGTTTTTTACACACATATTATTCAATCATGTATTTCAATCACTATTGAAAGGCACCCGAAAAAACTCATAATAAGTCTATTTACCAAACAATCATTTCTACTGATGTCATGTCAGCCACGGATCCGATTACTACCGGCGATGAAACACACAATCCATAGATTCGTATAAACTTTTAATTCATTGGTAAAATTGATTTTATCATCGCTTAAAAAACAATTTAAAAAAACAACAAAAAAACAAACGAAAACAAAGTGTTCATCAAATTTCAATGAAATAATTAAATTAATTACAAAAACACGAAATGAATTCAAAATAGTTTTAAATATAAATATAATATACTGTTATGTACTGTATATATGGTTTTGAAAAATAAAAGCATACTTTCTATGTCTCACAAATAAGAGAGAGATTTTAGTTGTTGTGATGTTTTGCTATACAATTGATTGTTTGTCTGTTTTGTTTGGTTTGATTGCAACTCATCTGTCTTTTGTGTGCAAAAAATTACATTTTGGTTGGAAGCGACACTTCCCGGTCCGCGAGAAATGTCTGCATACAGTGAGGCGGTTGAGTGGACTGAAAGTCGGGCATTCTTGGGGGCAGTTTTTCGCCGGTCTTCGGTTGCGGTAAATCAATGTTAGAGTAGTCGTGAATATTGTTGGGATTGTTGTCGTCTTCGAGTGGTATCACTTTGGATACGTCGGTCTCTAAATAGGTCTCGGCGTCGGGTTCTTGAGGCGAGTCCGGCATTTGACTGGCCGTGAAAAACGTCTGCAGTGTTGTCCGTATGCGGTCGGCCTGAATGGCCCTCTCCTTGGAGTCCTTTCCGTGTTCAATGAGGTTCGCGTCGCCATCGCATGGGATCAGACGCCAGGAGCCGAACGAAGACGAACGGCTCGAGTTCTGGTCCGTCAGGTCCGAGAGGTCGTAAGAGCCGGAGAGACCGCGTTTCAGGTGATGCATGAGCTCAGCCTCGTGTCGCATATCGTATCGCTTCATATCGTTTATACCGCCCGAACCCGCGGGTCGGTTCACGTTCTCCCGTTCCGTCTCATCCAACTCGAAGTACTTCACCGCTTGGATACTCCTCTTCCCGCTCTCGTCAACCCATCTGTTCATACAATCAATACGTTTTATATCATTAGAAATCGTAATTATATTTATATTAAATGCAAATTCATAACTATTTTCAACAAAAAATGACTTTTATTGACAACACTTTTAGTCGGATTGCATACAAACCTCACAGACTTTTTGACTCCTTTTTTAACGTAACATAAAATAGGTTTTATTGTATTGTTTTTATTTTTTGAGATCACAGACAGGGATGCGTTGAATGTGAGCGTTGTGTCCACTTTAATGTCAGGAACTGTTATGTCGACACTCATGTGATTCATCTCCTCTTCGTTGTCGTCGACGCTATCGTTTTGTTCGTCACTTTTGTACTCGTCGTCCATCGCGTCGTTGTCTTCACTGCTATTATTGTTGGATTCATTGACTTTGTTGTCAACCTTTTCGTCGATTATATCCATATAGAAGGAGAAGGGTTTGGGCGGCGATGCCTTTGGACTAGTAGTGGACGCCGAGGCCGTCGTCGTGTCTATAATACTCGGCTCTTTTGGCATCTCTTTGCCGGCCGTCGAAGAGCTGGTCCGTCGCGGCTTCTTCTTCGTCGTCGTCGAAACGGTCGGCGCAATCAATGCGTCCATAAAACTCATTGAGTCCTTTAATTACAATAGAAAACCACGTATTAATCAATTGGTGGAGAAAAACAAAGCCATTTAAAGCCATACCTGAAGCACATGCGGTTTAGGCGGTGGTGCGACCACTGGGGCGGGCACTGGAGGAGTTGGCGGGACGGCAACACTCAACGGCTCAATCAGTTTAATGCCTCCGACGGGCAGTGCTTTCGGTTTGGGGAGACTGACAGCGGGAGTAGTGGTCACACTGCTTAGGGGTTCGGCATTTGCATTATTGGAGACCTTATTGCTGGCCGTCGAAGACTTTTTATCGGACTCTTTGCGGCTTTTGGCGAGTTTAGGACCCGTCTGACCGCAGCTGACTAAGTCGCCGAGTCGCGACTTTCCGGGCTTTACTTTGGCCGTAGACGGACGCGGCGTTCGCTCCGCTTTCAACTTCAAGCCGTCGGCCGCCAACGCGTCCAAAGGCGCCGAACTATTACTGTCGGCGCTGTTGTAGTCGATGGCGTTGTTCAGTGATTTGGCGTTCAGTTTAGACTTCTTGGGATCACTGCCGCCACCAATGGTGGTATCTTTTGAGACATTATTCGTGGATTCGTTGCTCTTACGCTTCCCCTTCTCCTTGAGACCTGAGGCCAATTCAATCATTTTGGTCCACTTGTCCACCACTTCCTTGGCTTTGGCCGCCAGTATCGGGTCATCCGATTGTTTGGCTATTTTTCGGATTATTTTCGGCGAATCGTTCTCTCGGAGTCTCTCGACATTCATCGGAAGCTTTAGTAATAATGTTAACAACTCGTCTAAAAACGGTTTGTTTCCCAACTCTTTGGCCGATTTGATCCATAAGTGGATTGTCTCCCATCCGCCAGACCTTAAAAATCTACCGAAAAAATGAATTTCAAATATTAATAAATTAATTCAATAATAAAAGCAATAAAAACTATTATAATCTCACTCTTCGAGCACATCCGGAGTGGTGGCCAACAATACGTTACAATACACGCAACGGGAGACCAACTTTCGGGAAAACTTCTTCATTAGACTATTGGGAGAAAGAAATGACAAAAAAGTTAATTAAGTGACAAAACTTGAGCGTAAAAACGGTTGTCTAACGGACACAAACCTCGACAGTCGGGGCACTTCATTGGCATTCTTGATGCCCCCACTGGGGGTCAAGAGGGGCGCGAAGGCCTGCAATAACTGATTCGGATCTATCGGTGCCTGAAATGAAAAAATTCATATTTTAATAAAACTTTTAAAATTTTCTTAAGAAAAAAGTCGACCGAAAAATTAATCACAAAAATTGCATAAAAAGTAAGAAAAATAATTACAAAACTATTGTAAAAAGTAATGCAAAAAACATTAGAGAAAAGTGTAGTGAAAAGAGACATAAGTTTGCAAATAATATATAATATTTTCTAATAGACTTACCATTGAATTGAATGGAGAAATAGTTGTAAAGTATTTTCACGTCTCTCGCAATGTATACATAATATGGATGTATATTATTAGGCAGTGAATGGCTATAGCGTTGCCGTCTATGGGAACCGCTCTCTCCCTCTGCCTCTCCTCTATGGTTAAGACGATTCACTTGTGGGACACAAACCCCGGATATGGCGGACAACTGTAGACTACTGTCCCCTTCGCGGACACACACCAGCCGTCCGTCCCGTCAGATAATTAACGGCAAAACTAATTGTCTGTCTTTGCAATCAATTATGGGTTTGTATTGTGTGTTGTCTATGAGTCTCTCAAATGCCTTCAAAATATATATTCAATATATTTAGAAATCAATTCAAATTGTCTTTTATTTTGTCAAATGATTTGTTAATTAAATGATAAAATAAATCAAAAATCAAACAAAAATATGAAATGCAATCAAAAGTGTGTTTAAATCGGAGACCAAATGAGACGACGAAATGGTTTGTGAAGAGCGAGAAAAATGGCGACGACTTTACGATACGTATGGCTCGAACACAGTCGACAGCCACTCGACCTAACACTGTCTCTATTGCTATCAATGCCGGACCGCACTGTATGAAACACCTATTGCCTAACAGTGCGCATACAGTACTGGAAGTACAGTAGAGCTCTGGATGTAGTGATACACTACGTATACCACTACTGCTGGTAATACTACGACAGCGCTCTCACTGCTCAGTGTATGGCATTTGCTTCACACAAATCCACTCTTATTGCACATCAATAACGTCGACCACAACAACCCTTTTGCCCCCTCTTTGCCCCCAATCTCACGCTTTTTCAATACAAAATATGTACGTTATTTGAAATAAACGTGATAAAAACGTTTCACACCATGTACAGTTAGGGTACAGTGTATTTTTGTTAATATTAATATAAAACTGGTAAAATAAAAATCAAATAAAACAGGATTTTATATACTTTGTAAAATTAAAAAATGAAGCTAGGTTAATCCAGGTTTGGCCGCACAAAAACACGTAGGTCAGATTATGACGGGGTTTGATTACATGGTGAAATTGGCGTAAACAACGAGGTTGTATTCATACAGCCCTACAACCAGTACAGTGTATGACAGCCCCGACAGACAGTGTGTGTAATATTACGGCTAAATTAGTGGTCAATACTGACAACACAAACGCCCGGAGAAACTGACGGCAAATGCGTGGAAACCAATGGACAGACAATTGAAACAAAAATATTTGTGACGATTATAATGACTGCTTTTTGTGCACATTTCAGTACAACTGTACTCAAGGCATGGATTGGCCACTACTGTCGCACCACTACTACAGCCCTCTAACGGTATATCATAGTACAGGCGCTTACTTTGAATTTAACCCAACACGGGTATCATGTATCATGGTTTAAATACCCCCGATAATGCCCTTCGTTAGTTTACGGCAGGATTATCTATAGCTGTATAAAAGTTGTCAAATACTTGTGACCCAAATGTCTCTCAAACCACTCTTACCTCTCAACTAATGGTTTAATGCATAAAGTGATTGTAAAACAGGTTTAAATAAATTAAAACTTTTGAGTTTTATTTAATGATTATTGCAGTGACTATTGATTCGCTGTCCACGACATCAGTATTTCCTGTCACCGTTGATGATGTCCTTCACCTCGCGATCGGTGGGAATCCAAGCGGTCCTGACGTCTGCGGGCCGTCGGGTGGCCGTCAATCGGTCGTCGCTTTTGACGTCAATTTTAACCTCACTTTTGACATCACTTTTGCCAAAGTTTTCGATGGAGTTCTTGTGCACCAGTTTTCTCATCCAATGATTTCGTTTCCGTTTCGACAAATACTTGTCGACAATGAAGAGACTGAAGTCCATCGATGTCTTCTGGTTCTTCTGGACGACAATATGGTCGGCGAGATCCAGACCCTCGCGTCTCATCTCAGCGATGATGGCGTCGAAGTCGTAGTACTCGTGCTTAATGTTGTGGATCCAGATGTCGGCGCCGAGTATCTCCTCCTCGATGCACATCCGGATGGGAATCATTTTGTCGATTGCGGCCAACAGTATCCACGTTGTGATACCACTCCACAGACTCACACTCACGGCAGCCAAACACTGGACGCCCAACAGACGGAAACCGCCGCCTTTAAACAGACCTGACTGGCCTCGGGTTAGGCCACCGTTTTCTATGATGAACGGCTCGGCCACAGCAAACAGTCCCACGCATAGAATGCCCACCTGTCAAACGTGGGGTAATTTTTTATATAAAATTTTATAATATTTATATCAGTCCCTACCATTCCTCCACCCGCGTGAACGGCCACAGCGCCCACCGGGTCGTCGATTCGTAGACTGTCCAGGAATGGGGCGATCAATGTGTTGGCCACACATCCGAGGGCTCCGATGACGAACGAGTCGTACGGCTCAAAGAAAGCGGCGCCACTCGTCACGGCTACCAAACCTATCATTACAATTGTTTTTTGGCCATTAATTGTAATGCAAATTATTTAACTATTGCTGTTTTGACAACTATATGACAGACCGGCGAGTATGCCGTTAAGGACGGGACTGACTTCTGCCCTGCCGTTCGTAATGAAGCAATACATGAGTGCAATGAGTCCGCCGGCGAACGAGCCGTTGAGTGTCGTGACGGCCGCCCTCTCAGCGAATTGCCATTTGTGATGACTCACACCGAAAGTGGAGCCGCAGTTGAAGCCCAGCCAACCCCACCACAGGGCGAATGTGCCGACCACTGCGTTCACGGGGTTTCCCATCGGCAACGGATCCGTCCCCTTCTCGTACCGTTTGAGTCGAGGCTTAAGCATATACGCGGCCACCAGAGCGCTAATACCACCTACCGATCCATTGGTTATATATTTAGATTTGTTGTGTCACCATGTTAAATCTCAAATTTGTAACTATTTAATTGGTTAATAGTATTAACTTAATACTGACCAATGAGATGAACGCAGGCAGAGCCGGCAAAGTCGAGAGCACCCATTTTGTAGAGCCATCCGGTGGGCCGCCATATCCAACCCGCGGGAACGCAATACACGATTGTATTCAAGAGCGAGAACAAGATATAGGCGTTATAATTGGTCCGCTCGGCCATAGAGCCCGACACTATGGTTGTGGCGGTCGTACAGAAAGACAATTGAAATATAAAAGTGGCATAACTGGGACCCATCTCTTCTTCGCTGGGGTCGAGGAACCAATCGCCCGCTCCATACCATCCCGTGTGGCCCTCTTCGCTGCCAAACTGTAGACCGTAACCAATACACCAGTAGAAGAGTCCGCCCAACACCACGTCCACCACGTTCTTCATCAATATGTTTACCTCGTTTTTCTTGGCACAGGCGCCCGACTCCAGGAGTCCGAAACCGGTTTGCATTGTGAATATGACAAAAGCGGAGGTCAGTATCCAAGTGGCGTCATCGGAGGTCGGGAGCGGCGACTCCACGTCCGGGTTGTATACGCTGTTGGACACCGATTCTGGCGAGTCTTGCGATGACATCGTTTTAACACTTGTTTTTCATTTCAAATTAGGTCTAAAAACAATTAAATTAAGGAATTTTGAAAACAAATTAAACATTTGAAGTCAACAAAGTGTCACATAATTTACTCGTTTTTTGGCATTACTTTTTTTGAGTAGTTTTAGTGATTGTGATATGGATTTAAGCCATAAGTAGCGCTAAGATGTAAGTCAGGGTTGCTATATGTAAGCCAGTCCAGTGTAACGGTTGTGATCACTGATCATGTGCTAAAACTATTTTGTTTTAGTTTTTAACTATTTAGATCACAAATAGATTAAGTTAGATTAAACAACAGCACTCATCTAATATTAATAAATTACTGCCGATTAATTCATTAAATATTGATTAAAACTCTTTTAACTTAATTTAACTTATTATAGAAATTGATTTTATCGTATAATTTCATATTATTTGCACAGAATTTGAGATATTTATTGGTCAGTAAATCAACTATTCATTAAAAATTGATTTTTTATACAGAATATTATTTTAATGCAAGAGTTACTGTATATGGGCTACAGGTTTGAAACTCAATGATTAGAGACGACCATATTTTAATAAAAATTATATAATAAATGATTAATAAGTAGATTCTGTTGGACCAAATATTCCTCGTATTTGTTTCATCCTTTTTCATGTTATTTTCTGATCTATAAAAAAGTTGATTATTATTTAGATATTAAACAAAATGTATTATTTGTAATAATTTATTACTTACAATATAATTGAAAAATAAAAATATCTTGCAGTCAATTGTTGTTTAGTTATAAAATGTTTTAGACATAAACTAATCGATTCTTATTCAGAAATAGTGTTGAGAATAATAAACCAAATATTGTTCATAACTTGTAAATACATTTATTGCATTACATAACTGTCTCGTCTAACAAAGTGGCCACTCATAGGCTTTCATTCACTGATTATTCAAGCAATTTTACTAAATTATCGGTTAATTAGCAAATCAAACACAAATGAATCGACAAAATAAGAGTCGAGTCCATTTAGTGGCTCAGGACATCTCGTGGGACGACGCGACCTGGATATTGACCTCATCCTTCATCATATTCACTATGCAATCGGGTTTCAGTCTATTAGAGTCGGGTTGTGTCCGACGCAAGAATCACGTGTCCATCATATTGAAGAACTGTTGCGACCCGTTGTTCACTGGACTCGCCTTCTGGTCAATCGGTTACGGCTTATCGCTCACTACAGACAAGGACTACGACAACCCGTTTATTGGTTTCGGACACTTTCTGGTCGAGTCGTCGGCCGATAATATGGGCCAATTGTACGCCAGTTATACTTATAGGCTGTCGTTGGCGTGTGTGGCCGTCACTATAGTGTTGGGTGCGATGGCCGAGAGGATCACTTTTGTGGCCTACGCTGCCTTCGCTTTTAATATTACAATACTGTTTGCAATACCGAGTTATTGGATGTGGTCTCCAAATGGGTTTCTCTTACGTATGAATGCCGTAGATATCGCCGGATGCTCTACTGTCCACCTATTGGGAGGTCTGTATTGTGTTGTATACAAATTACTTTTATTAAAACGTCGTGTGTTTAGTAATATTGTATTTAAAACTACAGGTGTATCGGGATTAGTGGCCACATTGATCCTTAAGCCACGTTTGGGCCGCTTTTCGGCCAATGCCGGAGCTTTTACCATGAGTTCGCCCACGAATGCTCTTTTGGGCACTTATATGCTTTGGTTATATCTAAAGAATAAATTTGTATTTTTGAAAATTTATATAAAATTTTTTAATTACTTTAAGGTGGGGTTGGGTTGGACTTCACATGTCGTCGGCTTTTGGTGTTTCAAATAATAAATGGAAATATTCAGCAAGGTTGTTACGCAATTATAATACTGTATGTTTCAATTCATTAACTAATCTAAATCACTGACTGTCAAATAGGTCTGCTGTGTCCACAATCATCGCCTCATCAATCGGTGGTTTAAATGGACTTTTATTAAGTTATATATTTATGAAACGAAAATTTGATATAAAAGTATTTATTTGCGGACTTTTGGCCGGTTTGGTATCGGTATCGGCGGGCTGTACACTATACCAGCCCTGGGAAGCGCTTATCATTGGTTATATCGGCTCTTTATTGTCCATTTCTAATATACCTCTACTAAAGCTATTAAAAATTGATGACCCGATCAATACAGTGTCCATTCATTTGGTTTCATCCATTTGGGGTAATTATGAAATATAATAATAAAATAATTCATGCAATTTTATCATATAATGACTTAAATGAGAGTTTATTTCGCTTAATCTAATTATAATTCTAATACTTTGTTTTTGAGATCTGAATGTACTAACACTGACAGTAAATATGCCATATATTTATAATATAATGATCATTTTTAGTGCTATTTATTGATAAACATGTATTTAAATGTAACATAATATACTAACTTGTTCAAAATTCTTATTAATTAACCAAACGTAACAAAGGTATGGTTGCGGTGGCACTACTCGTCCAGAAGGACACACTCTTACATATGACCCACCATCAGGAGGGCCTGATATACGGCGGTTCCGTACACTTTCTGTTAGTACAGTTGCTATCGATCGGTGCGATCGGCTTGTGGTCAGCCCTGTCGACGGCACTCGTCTTATATTCAATTCAAATGATAACAAACATAAGACTTACGATGAATGACGAGCTGAGAGGCGCCGACTATATTGAACACAACACCTCTTTTGAGGCCAACGACGACACCCTTTTGCCGCTCAACACGTCTCTCAAGACCTCGAAGTCGATCGCGAGAATGCGTCTGAAGAAAGTGTTGAACGCATTGAAAGCCACCCATAGATTCAGTTCATATCATAACAGGAATTCATTCCTCAATAGACAGGTGAAGGAGAATCAGGCGAAGACGTTGGCCATATCGTGGCCGGCACAGGACGCGCCCACCACTAACATGTATATGTGATATTACGCCAATTCATACCTAGATTAGTAGCTATGATGGTGATATGTTTTCATAAACATTTTTCTACCAATCTGTAATTGAATTGAATTTTCCATTAAGATTAAATCGGTTTCGTAATCGACTATAATTTTTAAATAAATATTAATGAAAATATCCTCCACTTATTGGGTATTAATATTGAATTCAATATCGGATTATTACTTATGAAAATAGTTTATTAATATTAATGAGATGAATTTTTTTTAATGCAGCTTCAATATTATTTTTATTATAAGCACTAAAATATAAATTTAATTAAATTTTAATGGTAACAGTTATCTTAAATTGAGTGAATATTTTGTGAGTGAAATATTTATTGCATAAATTGAATTTAACCCAAAGCTCATACAATATAATATTTATCAATATAAAAAATTTACATTTGAATGCTTTATACATTTATATCAAATAAATATTTTAAGCTAGTTTTTATTTCTTCAATTAGAGTCCACTTAAGTTATTACAGAATACTTTAAGAGAAAATATTATTTCTTTTCAAAATATGTGTGCATTTGTAGTAGCAATATATTGCATTGCATAGATTTTAAGTTGATGCATATTATTTAATTATAATTTATAAATAAAAATAATTATATTGTTATTATAATATGAAAAATGCATATTTATTTTATTACGGTAGTTATTTTAAATCAGGTCTGTTAACGTTATCCAAGAAACAATACTTTACAATACAATATAGACCTTTATTCTAATTTAAAATAAAAATTGCATTATAATAAAATGCAAAAATATTACATAGAACTATTTTGTTTTTCTTAATTAAATAATAACATTTAAATTGTATATTTTGTTCACAGTGTGTTTGGTTGTATAAAACCGTATCACCTACTATTTTAAAAGCTGTACCTTGAGGGAAAACTGTCTGATTCTAATTTTAGCAAAATAGGTACAGAATCTTACAGTATATTTTACTATTTACATTATTACTTTATTGACATTGAGTTTAAATATGAATTAGTGTATGAATTTTTATAACAGAATAAATAATGGTGTAAAATATACTTTTAAACAATGAGTATTGTTATATTTTCATACGTTTATCATATGATTACAATATTGTCAATATCACAGAATTATGACGACAGATTTATCACATGACTACACACTTATAAGTTATAACTTATAACAGAATTGTTATCCAAATATAACCAAAATCCTTAGTTTTGAAACTATATGTTAAACCAAATAAATTGATTTTCAATGCTATGAATGAACTTATTTAATCAGGATATTAATAATGATGTGCACAAAAGTATATTCTTGTACAATACACTACACCATATCGTCTCTGGTAGGGAATATAAATATGGCGTTAATTCCTATAGGCGCCTTCGCGGGCGCCCGCCCACTGGGCATCTGCCCGGCATCCGCCCTCAAAAAAACACCCACGAGATGGAAGCACCCGTCAAAAAAAGCACTGTTAACGCCAGTCCCTCTCCCAGCATAGCCTTCTCGGCTATCGTACAGACACTGATTGACTCATGCGCTGAAACAAAAGTCAGTTATAACGCCCGATAAATGCCCATTTTCTCACGTGACACCGGGCGGGTGTTATTTCCCTAGTCTCTGGCCCTGTTCATAATGGGACGTACTTAATGTTTTACCTCGATCATTTTAAGCATATTAAACATTATAACTATAACTATATAGTACCCTTTTTGCCCTCGATTTGCCCTACGCTACGATGAGCACTACACTATATCGTATAAATTCTTGATTTTTGTTTTTAAACTTTTAGTACATTGTATAATAGAGATGACGATAGAATGAGCTTAATTGTCTCATAAATAGTTATATTAATCTTTTAATTTCCTCTATTTTAAAACTTTTATAGATATCTGTAGTCATAAAAAGAGTATTATATTTATAAAAAGTGAAAAGAGATTTGTAATACTATTAATAGTTGTTTGAAAATGTGTTCAC